ATTTATAGTATTGATGTTGCATTAATGATGTTTTGCTTAATTTCACTTCATTATAAGTTTAGCATATTAATTAATTACACTTTTTTTTTGATATGTAAAGAGGAGTTAGGATAGTTTCTACACTTAGGAATTGATGTTACCTGTACAGAAGTGATGGCAATTGGAGTAGTGACTCAGGAGAAAGGGAAAGTAACCAGTCCCATTTCCTAAAAAAAATTTTTTTGTTTTTTTGGCATCTCCCAGTTTTTAAAAACAAATACAAGAATTAGAGTACAAATGTATTAATACATAGGGACAATAACTTCTGGACGTATATCATGTGGAGACAATTTTAGGTTTCTCGGTTATTCCGAAGCAGGGAGTTTTCATGGAGGTGAATCAGATGCCACTTTGTGTTACTATTCTGTTTTGCATACCTCCTCCTCTGTGTAGCCATATAATGACCTGTTTAGGTGCTTGTCTCCTCCACCTGACTGTTAATGAGTTAAGGTAAGTCCTATGTAACTAACTCATTTGGGTCTGCAGCTGTGGTTGCTTACCATTTGAGGTAGACGATCTAAACAGATGATATAAACTTACAATGTTGATGAATGTGGTTCAGTACTGCAAATGTATTTTCTCTTCCATATGATTTTCTTAATAACAGTTTCTTTTCTCTAAATTGCTTAATTGTAAGAATGTAGTGTGTAATACATACAATATACAAACTATATGTAAATTGACTTTATCAGCAAAACTTCTGGTCAACAAGGGGCTATTAGGAATTAGTTTCTGGAGAGTCAAGTTATATGTGGATTTTTTATTTTGCAGGGATTGGCAGTCAAACTCTCAAGGCTGCATTGTCCAAGAGTCAATTGTACTTTTCTTTCAACACTTTAATGATGCCATTCCATTGTCTTTGCCATTATTATTTCTGGTGAGAAATTACCTGTTGTTTATTATTTTTCTCCCTTGTATAATGTGTCTTTATTTGTCTGACTGTACTTTTTTAGTTTGTCCTTTATTTTTAACTTTCAGAAGTTTTACTATGAGATACTTGGGTGTGTGGTTTTTAAAAATTATTTTTGTTTTTTGCTGAGCTTTTTGGATCTATGATGAGATATAGATACACACATTTTTTAAAACTCAGTTTTGGAAAGTTCTCACTCATCTCCTGAAATATCTCCTCTGCACCATTTTCATATTCTCTGTTGTTTCTGGACCCAATTATCCTTGTGTTACAACATTTGATTTACCACAGATTTTTTTTCTCTCTTTTTGTTTTTTTAGAAAGCAGGATTAATAAGAGAACAGAAAAGCTCCCACAGTGGGCGAGGACCCAAAGGGGTTGCCCCACAGATTTTCTTGCTCCATTTTTTCCTTCCTCATTTTTTTGTTTTTTGTATGTGCTTGAGTTTGGATACTATCTATTGATCTATGTTTAAGTTCACTGATTCTTTCTACTACTATGGTTAGGTTACTGTTAAGTTCATCTAATGGAATCTTCATTTCTGATGTATTCTTTATTTCTAATTGATGTCTGTTTCTCTAAAAAAGTGTCTGTTGTTGCTGCTGAAATTCCCCATCTCTTGTGTGGTGTCCACTCTTTTCATAAGGTCCTCTAACATTTTATCAATTGTAATTTAAGCTGCTTTTCTGGTAATTCCTCTTCTTTCGATTATGAATGGACATTTTCTTACTCTTTGGGTGTCTACCAATATTTGATTGCTTAGTGGACATTTAATTTAATTATAGTGGAAAATGAAGTAGATACTTCCCTCCAAAAAAGGACCTTCTTTTAGGCTGCTGTAGTGGGGAACTGGGTCCATTTGATCTCTAGCTGACCTAGGTCTGGGCTTTGCTCCTGCTTTGGTTTGATTCAGTTCATCTGTGGCTTCACCTGTTTGGAGGGCATGGGATCTGAACCCCCTGACAGATGAGAATCTGGCAATCTATTTTGGCTTTGCACATGAGCTACGAGCATTCAATAACATGGGATAGCTCTTTCTGCTTTATTGATTGATTGATTTGGAATCTCACTCCTTTGCCCAGGCTGGAGTGCAGTGGCATGCACGCTCATGGCCACCCCAGTGTCGACCATCTGGGCTCCAGCAATCCTTCTGCCTCAGCGTTTGGAGTAGCGGAGCTACAGACATGCACTACCATGCCTGGCCATTTTAAATTTTATTGTAGAGACAAGGTCTTGCTGAATTGCCCGGGCTGGTCTTGAATCCATGGGCTCAGGCACTCCACTCACCTCTGCCTTCCAAAGTTCTGGGATTACAGGCTGAGCCACCGAGCTCAAGCCTGGCCCTCTTTTTGCTTTAAGGTTCTGATACCCTTTTGTAGGGTTAATGTGAGTTCTCTTTGTGTTTTCAGTTCTACTTCTGGCTCTTTGTTTCTTTAGGAAATCTCTTTCTGACCTGGTGTCCTGCCTTCAGCGTTCATTGGTGGAGGCTGTCATGTACACTTTGAAGGCTCGGAATGTGTTGTGGGGATTTCTCTCAGGTTTTTTGTCTACTCTGCTGCCTTTCCAGGACATCTGTTTGCACTTGGGAGAGGCTTGTTATCCATCGCGGGATCTCACTCAGCTTTCCTGTTCTGCTTCCAGCCATTGACATTCTAATGCAGTTAGTGAAGACTGGAGGGAAAGTGTTGGTAGGCAGGTACAGAGTTGTTATCTGGCTGGGGCTTCATGTTTGGGGTTCCTTGGAATTCTGATCTCTCTCATACCAGCACCCCTGTAGCTGTCAATAGTTTATGAAAAATTTAGCTGGGTTTTCTTTATCCTTGTTTAACTTCTTCCTCAACTGTCTGTCAGGGATAAGAGTAACTTGTTCCTTCCGGGTACTTAATTCTTAGGGGTTTCTTTGTGTCCTTGGCCTTCTGATGTGTTGAAAACAACAGCAAGTATAATTTTGTAGGATTTTGGCTTGTTTTGGTTGTCAGAATGAGAACAGTGGAGTTTTGTGACTTCTTTCTAAATCCTACAGGAAGTTGTATTCTTAGTACTTTAGTGTTTAGATTATGTAAGATAGACCATGGGTGTGTATAGAACATAGTATTTTATTTTAGGCATTACCTTCAAAGTAAATTTACTTTACTTTGCAGTTCTGCCAGGAACTTGCAGAAGACCTATTTTGAAAGATAAGAATTATCTTTACATCTCATTATTCGAAGAAATCCTATTTCTTTACTGAATTGAATGCTGTGGCTTACTACCCTTTTAAAGTTAGACTTTTAGGTATCAGATTTCTTTGATACTAGCTCTAATAGAACTTCGTGTGATGTTGGAAATGTTCTATGTGCTTTGACTGGTGTGGTAGCCACTAGCCATACATGGCTCTTGAGCACTTGAAATGTGGCTAGTGCAACTAAGGATCGAATTTTTAATGTCAGTTAATTTAGTAATCATGTAGCTTGTGGCTGCTATAATGAATGTACAGGTCTACATACTATATGTAATTATGGTGAAAACATCCTAATAGTGTTTACAGCAATGAAGAACAACTTACAAAATCCTTGGTTATGCTGTTTGAGTATACTTTTTCTTGATACCTGCTTCAGTTTAAGATTTTTTTTGCCTTTTTGATTGTTGAAACACTGTATGAATCTTTAAATGTACAAATCTGAGTTCTTTGTGAAGAATAGAACTTGTGAAATTTTCAAATAATTTTGAGTGAATGAATAATTAGCTTTGTAAACTAACATTCATGCTTTTTCAAATATCAGCAAATTATTGGATGATCTGGTTGTAGAAGAAACTCCATTGCAATGCAATCTTAACTTTATTTCCTAAGGCTTTCACTACCCTGCTCTGTAGCTATTCAAGGAGGTCACATACAGACCAGCCTGAGCAAAGAGAAACATGTTATCAGACCAGTAATCTATAAAGATATCAGTAGAATTCAATTCTTAACTTCCCTCGATCATGTCACCGTCCCACCCCTGCTTCAGGAGATAGTATGCTTTATGGGAGGGGCAGTGAGCAAAGGGCCAGGGAGGGGAGGGGATAGGACACTGAGTACTAGTTTGGTGCTACCCCTAAGTTAGCTAAGTTACTTTTGTAAAACTGCTTAATTTGCTAATCTGTAAGGCAAAGGTCACCTGTTATTAATATTGATGTGATTTTAAGATTAGAAAGAATCCTTGAGGTTGTGTGATTTGTCTTTAAAAAAAATGGCTACTGAAAAATGTTCCCACTTTTTATACTATTATTTTTAATTTTGACACTTGCACTTGGATGTCCCCTCTGAGGAGACATTGCAAATCTAGGAAACCACTCTGATGCCCCCTCTGGAGGACATAAAGAGATTGCTGGTGATTAAAGAGGACAAACTTATGCAAGCGCAAATTTTTCAAAAAAGTATGTTTCCTCGAAGTTTTCCATTCAAAAGCAATGAAAAACCTTTGTTCCATTTGATATTTGTATTTTGCTCTATCAGTTGATAATTAGTTTTCAGGAATCACAAATGTGTTCTTCCACATAGTCTTTGAACAACACACTGGACAATAAATTACATATTATTAATATGGGGAAAGAAAACAAGACTGCATTGTCTGAATAGAAAAACACCAGGTGGAAGACATCTAACAAATTATTATTGCACAACATGTATTAATGAACCAGCAATGTATGTTTGTGGCTGTTTCACACATTACCACGTGTTCGAAAAATAGAAGATATAAAATTTAGATTTTTTGTCATAAATAAGTTCCTCAATGTTCAAAATTCCATTATAAACCAAATATCAGTAAAATAAAATAATTGGTTCCAACACTGTACTATTTAAGATAAAGTGATTTATTTTTCACTATTTAGTAAAAAAGTGCAGTTGAGTTGCTGGTAGGTGACCCATGAGATGTCTCCAAGTGCAAAAAGTTGAAGATTCCAATGCTGAATGCCTCTTGATAAAATCACAGTGATAATATGATTGACCCTGTTTATTTTTTTCCATTTTTAGAATTAGATAAATGTTGGGAAAAGAAATACATGTGTGCCTTTTTCTTCTTTTTTGTAGCTGGACAGATTTGCCAGTATAAGAATTCCAGGGAGTAAGAAAGAGAGACCTCCACTTTCCAACCTGAAGACTGCATTTGCAAGCAGTGAGTGCTCATCGGCATCTTTAGAGACGATAGGAAACATTCCAAAGCCACTGTCAGAGAACGAGCTCTTAGAACTGTTTGAAAAGATGATGGTAAGAATCTTGATTCTTCAGATGTTGAAGACAAAACCTTAGCTTCTGCTTGTGTTAATAGAACACTAAGCAGATTTGGAACTCATTGTTGTGTGGGGTGATTATTGCTATCATTTAAGATAGCACTTTAGCCATAGAGAGCTTTTGGCTTACAAAAATGAGAATCTGAAAGAAAACAACACATCAGTATTTTTGTTTTATACAGAATATATGCAAACATTCCAAAGTATCAAATGGTATATTTTTGTCTTGAATAGATTATCTAAGCGGTCTGTCTGTGTTTGCTTGATTTTCGAATGACGGTCATGCTTCTTTGCTGTTTGCATTGTTGTATGCTGACTGATATTTGGACCTTACTTGTTTTATTCCTTTCTTAGTTTTCAGGATAACTAGGTTCTTTATATTCCTGCAACACTTATATTTGTAGAGATTTGAACTTGCTTGTTTTAGGGTGTGTCTTTTCTGGTAGAGACGCATGGTGGTCTTTGGGGTCTTTTTCAGTTAATTATAAATCACAGTGATTCTCTGACTGACCAAGCACCTGGCTTTTAAGCTAGCAGAATTTGACCAGTAACCCATCTATGTTAAGTATATTCAAATCATTTACCACAGATTAATGCTAGTAGCTTCGTCTAAATAGATTTATTTACATATATAGTTCCTATCCTCAAGTTGCCATCTCCTAAGATTCAAAACACACATTAGAAAAATTAAATGAGTAAGAAATGCCAGAAGGTGGTAATTAATAATTAAGTTCCTTTTAAGTTCACAGAAGGAATAAATAACTTTGATTTTTGAGATACCAAATTAGCTTTAGGGGAAACTAAAATGGATAGGATATTTTCGTGGTTTAGGGAAATTTAGTAGAGAGCATGAACTAGAGCCAGGTCTTAACTCTGGATAGGATTTGGATAAGCAGAGGGAAGGGCATTCTCAGATGGAAGAAACAGCCATGAGCAAAAACTTGAATTAGAGTACAAATAGCTCAAAGGGCACCAGTAAGTGGCTGGAAAAATCTGGGTGGAGTAATAACTTGGGGCAGCTGTTGAAGGGATGCATGTATGTCATTCTGAGGAATTGTGTGTTATTTTTGAATTATGATTTATTCTGTGTATGTCTAGTTCTTCACCTGTTAGTTTTAATGGCCTTACTAAATTTTAGGCAAATGATTTCATTCATCTGTTTAGTTTAGAGTATAAGATGTGAATGAAATGTTAATATTAACTGGTCTTTTCATCATTCAGCTGGAATCAACAATGAATTTGCCAGTACGCTGCCTTATTTTCTATTATTCACAGGTATTTGTGTCCAGTATTACACTTGCAGCTTCAGAAGACCCCAGAAAGAATGCCTAGTTTGTGTCTTATAGGTTTTGGTTTTATTTTAAGTTGGGGTCCCACTCCGTTGCCCATGCTGGAGTACAGTGACACAATCACAGTTCACTGCAGCCGTGACCTCCTAGACTCAGGTAATCCTTCTGCCTCAGCCGCTCGAATAGCTGGGACTACAGGTGTGTGCCACCATGCCTGGCTAAGCTTTTTTTTTTTTTTTTTAATATAGAGATGAGGTCTCGCTATATTGCCTAGGCTGGTCTCAAACTCCTGGGCTCAAGTAGTCCTCCTGCCTTGGCCTCCCTAAATGCTGGGATTAGGTTTGAGCCAGCACACCCAGCATATAGGGATTTTAAATAAGTTTCAGTGATTCCTAACTTCATCACTGAGCATACATATTATTAGTATTTTTCATGAACCCGAGGCTTGGGAAACTCATCTGTTTTGCCAGCTCTTAATGAAGTGCTAATTTTAGTTTCAGTTAATCATACGTGTAGAACTCTTTCCCCCCCTCCCGCTCTTTAATTTAAGAGACAGGGTTTCACTCTGTCGCCCAGGCTGGAGTTCAGTGGCATGATCATAGCTCACGGCAGCCTCCAACTCAAGCTATCTTAGTCTCAAGTAGCTGGGACTACAGGTGTGCACCACCTTACCCAACCCTTTTCTTTTTTTGGTATTAGAGACAAGGCCTTGCTTTGTTGATTAGGCTGGTCTTAGGGCCTCAGGTGATCTCCTGCCTTGACCTCCCAAGTGCTGGATTGCAAATGTGAACCACCCTACCTGACCAGAGCTGTTTATTCACTCTGACACCATGATCTGATAGAATTTCAGCCAAGAACAAAGGAAACATAACCATTTTTTGGTTAGCCTTTGTCTCTGTAAATAGGGCTTATATGAAGGTAGCTTTTTTCAAGACTATCTTTGAGAAATCAAGATGGCAAAGTGCCCTCCTCCATGCACCATATATGGACCCACTTATCTATATTTCTTGTGAGTTTTTGGGATGGTACTTTTATAATTCACTTTGACTACCTTGTTAAAAAAAATTTTTTTTTTCTGTCATAATTGCAGCTGCCATCTGAGTAAGATGAGTAAGGAGCTCACTGATGTTAAACGTTTCTGGAGGCTACGTTTTATTACTATAATTAGTTACAATTACAGCCACCTAGAAAGTACTGAATGTTGTTTATCCTGTTTTTCTGTTACTCTAACTTGGGTGGGGGTTAAGACTATCAATCTTAATAGTATGTACAGAGCAGATGAATAATGGCATTTTTGATGTGTTTACAGAATACTTGTTAAATAACGGGAGTGGATCGAATAATGGCATTTTTGATGTGTTTACAGAATACTTGTTAAATAACGGGAGTGGATCACTTGTTAAGCCGTAATCAGATCTCCCTGTTGGTAGTAGATCTTGTGCAGCCAAATGCTCACTTTACTTAGCAGAAGTAAAATGAAATTGTTGTTTTCTCAGGGCTGTCCAATTTGGCATGAGTTAGTTATTACTAAGGTCTTTTTAAAAATAAGGAACAGGTTCTTTCCTTACCTTACTGATTTCCTTGAGTATAGCACCATATTCTGTAGGGAAAACCTGCTGTTGATTCTGAAACTGAAAGGTTTTTGAAACTGAGAAGGGTATTTTTCCTTCTTTAATGTGGATTAGAATATTTTTTAAGCTTTTTAGGATACTACATCTCTGACAAATTTAAAGCTGTTTCTATGTGACAAATGCTAGATTTAAACTGGGCTTGATTTTTGGCCTCTACATAGCTGTAACATTTTTATTAAAAAAAATTCTCTTGAGAAAGCAGCATTCAATAATCAGCCATGTGAACCTTTTGGCATTTGTACCTATAGAAGTTTAATACCACTTAAAATTTGCATTTAGAGTCTTTGTTTTGGCATTGTGCAGTTTGAAAAATAATTGTTCTTCTTTGCCATTATCAAAGGTATTTAATAATTTTTCCGTGTAGTAAAATTTTGGTTTGAAGAGCACTTTTCTCTCCTTGGGGCAGTTCTTGGAAAGCCTAGCGGACTTGATTGCTTGACAACCGCGAAGCACAGTGTACCACTTCAGCACTTGTGTCATCTTACTCTCATTAGGAAAGTAACTTGACCTGTTTGGTCTCTGGGTGATCATCTGTTTTCTGTGTGCTTTCTTAGTGATGGATTTTTAGTTAAACTTCTTAGGGCCTTCCTCCCCGCTGTTTGTCTTTTGATGAAAGCTGAGTTTCTAGCTGAAAGCCCACCTTGGTTTCTATGTGAATGTTAGATATGTGAAATAGTTGTTTATCGCTGTATATACAGTCTGATTTCTGAAGTCAATTTCAGTAGTTATTCTTGAACTCTTTGTAGATCTCTGTGTTCTTCTGAATGAGGTGAACATGGTAAGCTGAAAGTGACTTGTTTATTCCAGCTGTGGCCTCTCTATACCAGCCCTCTCAGCTTCTTTTTTCCTGACCCTGGTTAAAATCCCAGGCCGATCTCAGAGCTTTCCTGTTGCTTTCAGATAATAAAAATCCTAGCTTAATATAAATAACTCAATTTTGATCCAGGGAAAGCTGCCCGTTTTCCCTTTTTTAAGCTTGCTCCGTTTCTAGTCTCTAGTAAGTGCGGCTTTGGGGCGTGTGCCTGGTCTTCTTTTTCCCCACTTTGATTTTCTGTTCTTCCATATTCTCTAGACTGAATCTGCCTGCTGCAGGTTTAGGTTGGAGGTGGGTGGAGTTGGGAGTGGGGGTGAAGGTCGGGGAGAAGGAACAAGCACTTGCTGGCCAGTGATATCCATAACCTGCCACTGGTGCCCTTTGTATCAGTTTCCTAATGCTGCTGTAGCAAGTTACCATGGAGTTAGCAGTTTAAAACAGCACACATTTATTATAGTGCCGTAGGTTAGAAATCCAGGTTGACTTAACTGGTTCTGTAGTTTTCACAAGACTGAAATCAGTCTCAGCTGGTTGGACTCTTGTCTGAGGCTTTGGGAAGAATCTCCTTCCAGGCTCATTCTGGTTGTTGCAGAACTCAGTTCCTTGCAGCTATAGGACTGAGGTTCTCATTTCCTTGCTGGCTCTCAACTGGAGGCTGCCCTTAGCTTCTAGAGGCCTCTCTCCTGTCCGTTATGTGTGCCTTTACATTTCAGTTGCCACGAGTCCATCTCATGCTTGGAATTTCTCTAACCTGTCATTCTGTGTCACTTTTCTGCTTTTTAAAAAAAATCTTAAAATGATTTATTTTTATTTTTTTTTTAAGATTTGTTTTTGATCACTATCAATTCTTTGTGAATAGTAAACACATTTAGTCAAAAACTTTTATTCATCAGACAATGATCTTCCTTACACGCTTACATTTGAGTATTTGCGGTATTCATTTGTAGCATTCATGGAAGTGCTATGCTTTTAAGGGTGTGTGTGATTAGATTGGGCTCAGTCAGATAATCCAAGATAATTTCCATTTTTTAAGGTTTGTCACCTTAATTTCTTCTGCAAATTCCTTTTGGCATGTAATATATATTTACAGACTCCAGCGATTAGGGCAGTGGACATCTTCGGGGAGCTAGCTTGCTTACCACAGGTATAGTGGATTGCAAATGCTGATTCTTTACTCTACTTCCCAGTCTCACCTGTAATTCATGCATCTGGTGACTTCTCCTTTGACTTCTGCCCCTGACTT